ATTCCCAGCACTCACATGGCAGCTCACAACTCTCTGTAACTCCAGTTCCAGGGGATCTGACACCCTTACACCAGTGCATAAATAAATCATTAAAAAGAAAAGGCAGCTGGGGTGGTGTCTCACGCCTTTAGTCCCAGGCGCAGGCAGGCAGATCTCTGTGAGTTTGAGGCCAGGGTGGTCTACAGAGTGAGTTCCAAGACAGCCAGGACTACACAGAGAAACCCCTGACTCAAAAAAAAAAAATCAAACTCAAAATTTCTCATTCAAAATGAGACTGTTACTTAGATGTTTGCATAAGTTAATATTGACATCTTTCCACTTTTGTTTTCTTTCTTTCTTTCTTCTTTTTTTTTTTTTTTTTTTTTTTTTTTTTTTTTTACTTTTTTTGCTTTCCAGATACTCAGTGTGTTCCCATTACCAAGTGGGGAAACATAGGCTCAAGGGCAAGTGGGGCCAAGAACACTGAGGGTTTACTCAACACCTGACAGGCTGCTTCCATAGCCAAGCTTACAGTAAACTAGCTTTATTCTGAGAGCTTCACACTGCCCCCTGGCGTCAGGGCTGACTCTCTGCCTGCCTGTTTGTCTTCTGAGAAGAAGATAACTTGCACCAACTCTTGAAGTTTGGAATTTTTGCTAGAAGTGAGAGGTTGCTTTGTCTTTGGGAGCATTCTAGCTGTCTGCCTTGTAAATACATATGTATTGTCTCTCTTGTGATCTGATATGGACAAGGAGTGAAGACTGCACACCACCCTTGCTACTGAACTGTGTCCAGGAGCCAAGCCAAAGGGCTTTATTTGTTGGGTATTTATTTATTTAATTTATTTTACTAACAAGACAGGCTTTCTCTGTAGCTTTGGAGCCTGTATTGGCACTGGCTCTATAGACTAGGCTGGCCTCGAACTCAGAGAATTCTTTTTCTTTTTAGACAGGGTCTCTATATGCAGCTTTACCTGTCCTGGAACTGGCTGTGTAGACCAGGCTGCCCTTGATCTCATAGAGATACTCTTTCCTCTGCTTCCCAAGTGCTGGGGTTAAAAGACTATACCACCAAGAGCAGCAGGGATTTTATTTTGCTGGGTTTTTGTTTTGTTTTTTAATTTATGTGGATGTTTTGCCTGCATGTATGCATGTGCACCACAAGGCCAGAAGATGTCATCAGATTCCCTAGAACTGAAATTACAGACAGCTTCAAGGTGTCCTGTGGGATACTGCGTATGGAACCAAGCCCTCTGCAAAGGGCAGCAAGTGCTCTTAACCATTGAGCCATCTCTCCAGCCCCTGTTTTTATTTCTTTGATTCTTATTCCATAGGTATTTATTTCTAGTGCTCAGGATTAAGTCCAGGACCCCATGAATGCTAAACATGCACTCTACCATCAAGCAACACTCACCCTCAGTGGCCAGCCTTATTTAATACTTTTAGATAAGATCTGCCTCAAGACCTCCACCTTCCTGTTCAACCCCTTAAATGCTGGGGTTACAAATGTGCACTACCATGCATGGCTCAACTATTTTTGAGTTAAAAAAAAAAAACTAGCTGCCTTTAATAATGTTCCATTCCCCAAAGCAGTGCAATTATCTGTGCTCTTGTTTGTTTGTTTCCACCAGGGTAAGAGAGCATGGTGCCATCCCTATACAGTCTTTGTGTCCCATATGTCCTTTGTTCCTCTCCCCCACCCCATGCCTCCATGGTGGCTTGGAAGGAGGCTGTTGGCAAAGTTCCTCCTGGGACACACAGTTCTTGATGTTCCTGAGAGACTGCTGCTTCTTTCTCCCTTCCCCTCCTCCCTCCCCTCACCCTGCTCCCCTTCCTCTTCCTCCCTCTCCTCCTCCTCCTCTCCCTTCCCCTCTCTTTCCTCTCCCTCCCCTCCCCTCCTCCCCCTCCTCTTCCCCCTCCTATTTTCTCTCTCCTCTTTTCCCCACCTTTTTTTTTTTTTTATTTTTGAGACAGCTCTGTGCAATCCAGGCTGGCCTTGAATTTACACTCTTCTGCCTTGGCATTCAAAGTGCTGAGTTGACAGCTGTGTACTACCAAACCTGGTCTTTGCTTCCTTGGAATAGCCTCCCGTGGAGCAAGTTCATTTTTCCAGGTTAAGGTTGTTTGGGATGTTATTTATGGTCTTAACTTTCTCTGTCCCCTTTTCTAGGATTTCTGAAAAGTGTCATTGGCTATCTAACAGTCCCACCTTCCATCTCTGTTCCACTCCTCATGGGACTCTGACATGCATTTACAAATCCCCTCCCTCTTGGTGTCTGGAAATCCCCACCGACAGTGACAGGCCAGAACTCATGATCTGTGATTTCATGCCAAGGGGGAAGTAACATCGAGGGAGAAGGCAGAGGTGCCCCTACAGTTTCTTTCCTAGAGTCCCTTCAAAGTAGAGGCCCTGCACAGTGCCTAAGGTCCAGACGGGAGGTGAGATGGAATGAAATGAAAGATGGTGGCTGAACTGGCAGTGTCCTAGACCCTAGATCAAAGTTCTAATTCCATCACTAGTTGGTGGCCAGAAGAAGGCTCTTAATGTTCCTAGGTTTGTTTCACTATCCACTAAGAATAGGTGTGGAAATGGCCTCAGAAGCCTCAGCACAGGGCCTGGCAAATAGGTGCTATCAGCTGGACACCCTGCTGGCAATCGGGAATACAAAACAAAACACAAATAAACAAAAAACCTTCAATGAGGGCATTTAGGGGAGGGGGAAGGAGAAACATGGAGGATGGCAGGAGGGCTCCCTGGAGGAACATGAGTCCTGAGTAATAAGTAAGGAGAAGAGGGAAGTGGAGCTGGAGGACAAGAGGCAGCAAGCAGGAACACACCAAAAAGGGTCTAGTATGTGATCATGCACCAAAGAATTGTAGGATAATAAGTGATGATTAGAAAAAACCAAAACAACAACCTATGAGGGCTAGAGCAGTGGCTCCGCAGTTAAGAGCAATGACTGCTCTTGCAGAGGACCTGGGTTCAGTTCCAGCACCTATATGATATCTCACAACCATATGTAACTCTAGTGTCAGGAGATCTGACATCTTCTCTGACTTCCTCAGGTACTGGGTACTAGGCACACAGGAGAAGGAGCGAGGAGAGGAAAGAAGCATTGGAAACAGCTGCTACAGAGGCCCAGTCAGCATGATGAGCGAACAAGCGAGTGAGCGAGCATCTCGGCTTAGAAGAGAAATAAGTCAGTGCGCCTTTGGCAAGGGCAAGGAGCTGGAGAGGGAGGAGTGAGGAGGTGGAGAAAACAGTGAAGGCTCCTCTTCAGAAATCAGATTAGGCCAAAACCACAGGTGGAGGGAGCCCTAGTTACTGCTCTCTGTAACCTCCTCTCTGAAACAAAACAGACCTGGGCTCTCCACGGGCAAGTTTAAAGAGTGGAAGACCCAGTTTGGATAAGTGGCAGAAGAGCACAGGGAGATTTTTGTAGTGAAAAGTGAGGCTAGGAGGGTCAGGATGGGAAGGTGTCGCCATTGCCTCCATGGAGAAGTTGAGGTACTAGCACACAAGCCACTTGGAGAGGCCCTGGTCTTGGGATGTGAGTTTGAGCCTCAGGGAGTCATAAAGGAAAAGAAGCAGCCAGAGATGATAGCTGGAGGGAAGGCAGGTAGCTGGGGTAGCCTCAATCACTCCATTGCTAGGGAAACCAGTCCTCCATCACCAGTCCAGAAAGGAAGCCCTGCAGGTAGGGGCCTTGCATGGGTGCTAGAAGGACAAGCAGGCCTTTCTGAGACTTTCAGAAATCTGGGTTAACTTTCACAGGTGTCAATGCTGACATGCCCATAAAAAAAAAAAAAGTTATGACGAGTAGGGTGAGTAGGGAGTAGGGTGGTGCCATACCTTTAATCCCAGCACTCAGTCCTGGTCTACATGGCAAGTCCAAGTTAGCCAGAGCTACGCAGTGAGATCCTGTCTCAAAAATAAAACAGAGGGGCTGGACATATGGTTCTGTGGTTAATAGAGCACTGGCTGCTCTTCCAGAGGTCCTGGGTGTTCAATTCCCAGCAACCACCTGGTGGCTCACAACTATCTCTAATAGAATCTGATACCCTCTTCAGTCAAGTAGGCATTCATGCAAATAGAGTGCTCATATACATAAAATAAATAAATAAATCTATTTAAAAATAATATAATAGCTGGGTGATGATGGCATATGCCTTTAATCCCATAACACAGGAGGCAGAGGCAGGTTTACAGAAAGAGTTCCAGGTCAGCCAGGCTATGTAAAAATAACCCTTTCTCGAAAAACAAAAATAACAAACAAATAAATAAGTAAATAAATAAAGTCATACCTACATCTTAATGAGCAAACTCCCCTTAATTGATGTCAGGGTCCCTGATGCAAGAGGGACCAGATGAGGGATTCCTTTTTTTTTTTTTTTTTTTTTTTTCAGGAATCAAAAGGAAGACAGTTGGCCTGGATCTGTAGGAGCCTGAGTGTGGAATGGAGGGAGGTGACAAGAGAACACCTAGGGTTGTTGCACTTTAAACCCGGCGGGGTGGGGCGTGGCATTTCTGGGGACTGGAAGGGAGAGCGAAGCCCCACACTAGGGATTTCTTCTGTTATGGGATTCTGTAGTGCCACTACTTTAACCTAGCTCTCCAGGCACAAGTGAAAACCTGAGCCCTATGCAGCAGAAGTGCCTAGGGTTCTTGAGCAGAAAACGCAAGAAATGTGTACCCGGGTCCTCGAACACCAGCGAGCGCCGCGCAGCCGCAGAAAAGGCGGACTAGCATAAGCTCCACCCTGTATGCTAATATGGCGAGCTACGGCCCCGCCCCGAGGACCGAAGGGCCCAACACGGTAGGGTCCAGGGAAATGTTGGCGCGGAGCAGCGAGCCAGAAAAGTCCTAGGCAAGGCCAAGCGTTGGATCCCGAGCCCACCGAGTTGGTGGCAAGTCCCAGACACTGTTCAAGGGCTGCCGGCGAGGCTGCAGCCTCGCTTCCCCACCAGCGCAAAGTGGTACAGCCCATAGGGGCGGAGCCCAGATCATGTGACGCGAGCGCGGCCGCCATCTTGCTCTGCGGTGCTGGTATTTAGAGCGCAGCGGCTGACTGGCGGGGTCGCCTTCGCATCAGCCGCCTCGGGGATTTTCGCTCGCTTGCCCGCTCGCTCTCTCGCCGTCCTACCCCCGCCGCCGGCTGAGCTTGCCCTATTCCCGCCTGCAGACATGGCTGACATCAAGAACAGCCCCGAATATGCTGCGTTTTTCGCTGTCGTAGGCGCTTCGTCCGCCATGATCTTCAGCGGTGAGCATCGCAGCAGGAGGAGCAGGAGGTGCCGAAGTGGTGCGGGGACTCGAGCCCGCTGCTCACTGGGGGCCGAACGTGACGTCACTCTGACGTCATCCCCAGCTATGTGGGTGTCGGATCTTGCGGGTGGGGGTCAGCCCCTTGGCGGCGGGGACAGTGGAATGTGTGGAGCACAGGGCTTGAGGACTTAATCTGGGTGCGGGTTCTATCAGCCTGCCAGCCGATCCTGGTTTGTGCGGGGGTGGGGAGGTGGTGTGGCTGCCATTTTAGCCCCGGGAAGTAGGAATGAGGGTGGGGTGGGGGCGCGGGGGGCGGTGCGCTATCCTGTGCCCTCTCCTGCGCCTGCTCCGCATCCCGCATCCTGCGGACAGGTGTGACATCACATCTTGAAAGGCGCCAGTCCGTAGGCTGCGGCGGGCCCAGTACCGGAGTCTCTGTCCCCACTAAGGTCCATAAGCCCCGCATTCATGGCGGCCCAGCAGCTGGGGGTCAGGTGGGTCTGTACCCTGGGTGAGGCAGGTGTTTCCGGTTGAGACTTGTCTCGGTTTCCCAATAGTTCTGTCATCGGTGTGGGTTGGTTGGGAAAACTGGGCTGAGGGGTTGGTCCTGGGAACCTGCAAGGACTCGGGTTAGAGACTATGAATTGGGATTGGTTTAGGAAGGAGCATTGGAGTGGATGCGTGCTGAAAATCTGTGCTTTGAGGTGGATGAGATGGTGGCCTTAGAGTGTTAGCATTTACGTGATTAGGTCTTTGATCTTCAGTCCTGGCCCCAATGAATGGATGAGTGAACAAATGACCTTCCTCTTTTAAGGGGGTGAGGGGCTGGAACTGGGAGATGCTTCCTTGCTCAGAAAGAAAAACCTGGCAAGGTTCTTGACGGCACCTTGCTTTTGAAGTTGGGCCTTGACAGTTCTACGGTGTCAAATTTAGTGAAAATTGGCCTTCCTGGGAGAAAAGGCTTTGGGCCAGACCCAAGAATGTGGGATTGAGGGAGGTAAGTCACAGCCCCAGGGACTGGTCTGGCCTGGTCTGGACCTCCTCTGGAAGGTCTGGCTTAAGTGACCTCACCCTGCCCCACCCTATCTGGCACATGGAGAGGCTGGCCCTCTGTGCAGGTACATGGAGAGTTTGAACTCCAAACAGTGTCTGTTGACTGTAAACGCCTACCTATAAAGTGCAGATTGGTGTGGGGGTTTGTCTGTTTTAGTGACCTCCCCTGCCCAGGCCTGTCAGGTGCTGCTAAGAGAGCCCTGCTCTCCCCACATCATTAGCTTAAGGGATCATTTGTGGTGGGAGATGTGGTCTAGACTTCTTTCCTCCTCTAAGACCATGCCTGTTCTTCCCACACTTTAGGGCTCCTTAGACAAGGTTACCAAGCATTCCTTCTGTTTTTTGCCCCAGAATATGTCCATAGGCTCCCCTATTTTGGTCACCTGTGGTTGCTTTTTGTGGTTGTCACTCATTCATACATTAATTCAGAAAATCTTCTTTGAGTTCTTACAGATATTGGGGGAACATCAGTGAACAAAACAATATCCCTGACCATATGGAGCTCATATTCTGACTATCCCGATGGCTTCTGCAACTCTGAATTTGTCCAGATTTCTTTTTCTGCACCCATTTTCTTAAACCTGTTCTATCAAGACCTTGCATGTGCCAAATCTGGCCAACAGGTGTCTCTGCACTATTGAAAACTGGGTATTGCTGGTCTAGGCTTTTCCTTCCTGACCCTAGCTTCTGGGGACTGAAACCTACATGCTGACAGTTGCATTCCTTCACACAAGCTTCTCACAGTCCTCTGGGAGTGAGCCTCTCACTTGGTCAGATGAATCACCTTTTAATTTTATTTTTTCTTCCCAAACTGGCTATTTTATAGCATGTCTTTGTCTTGACACTACCTAAAGAAATCTCTCCGGTCTCTGGTGTTGCTGCTAGGAAGACTCGAAGCTTACTTAGTCTCTTACGTAGAGACTGGCCCATGGGCCTCTCTTAGACATAACGAACCAAGTTTAAAGATCATTGTGTTTTAACTAAATTAGATCTGTACACATTTTGAGGCCTCTGTTCCCTGCTCACATTTTTTAGCTTCCCTTTTTTTCTTGTGACAAATATCCTGTTGGTTCTTTCTTCATCATGTTCTCCATGAAACTGCCAGTTGCTTCTTCTCTGTGACTTCCCCCTGTATGTCCTGGAAGTGCCTCCAGACACTGCTCTCTCTGCCCCATTGCATTGGTATTTGTCAGAAGGTCTCCCTTATGCAGCCTATCAAGCTTGACCTTCTAGATACCTGCTACCGTCTGGGCCTGGGCTAATTTTTATGTCCTGTTACCTTAGTCCCTGGTGGCGTCCCTGTTTCTCATCATCTCTCTTCTTACCACCCATCCTTCAGCCCCATGATCTACTTACTGTACTCTGGGAAGAACCAACTCAACTCCTTGCCTTTTTCAAAGACCCACCTCTAGGGGAGCAGAATGTATTGTGTTCAGTCCCTACCTTCACAGTACCACATGGCAACCTGTGTTCTCAACGTTTAGTGCCATGTCCTCAGGAGTGGGAGCCCTCGGGCCACTCACCTGCACTGTGATGAAGCTGAGCATGGACTTCGGCTTGCAATAGGGTCCTAGAAAATAATCTTGAAATGGATCCAGGACTTGAAACCTAAGGTGATGCAAGTCTTTGTCAGGTAGTGTCTGGGCATCCAAGGGTGCTAAAGAGGATACAAGTTGTGTGTCTAGTCCCTGACTCTTCCGGGTAATCTCATCTAAAACTATCTTGCTTCGTGCCTGAATGTGCTGGCAAGAATCTTGTTCTTAGCCTGGTTTTCCTTTGCTCTGCTGCTTACCTTGTCATCTCTCTATTCCATGATCCTTTTTCAGACCCTTCTCCCCTTGGTGTATGTAGCTTCCCTACTCCCTGTTCTCTTTCCTTATTGGATGTGTTAATGTGTTGAGTCACTGTCTTCTTTTTTTGGAGGTTGTCCTACAGCTAACTCTTGTACACCAGTCTGGTCTCGAACTCACAGAGATCCACCTGCCTCTGTTTCCCTAGTGCTGGGATTAAAGTCGTGCGCCACCACCACCCTGGCTGAGTCACTGTCCTGTCTTCTTGCTGTTCCCTGAGCTCTGAGGAGGCAGAGATCCCTTCTAACCTTTGCCCTACTCAGCACTGGGCACACAGGAGTATTTGTGGTCCAGTGAGATCAATGAATTATGTAGAGTGGCTGGGGTTGTTTGTGTCCTCTTTACCTCTGGCCTGTGTTTTCTGTGCATCAGGTTGTAGACTACTGTTTCCAGACTAGCCATGTCATGGGTGCCCTGGGCAGAGGCAGTTTGGAGGCTGCCTATGTCACCTGTATAAGTAGCTCAATAGTTCTTATAGGGTCTGGGAAACAAGAGGCAGAAATGAGAAAAAATAGAGTTCAAGACCTGGGCATAGGACGGGAAAAAGGAAGGCAGCATCTCCTGGGGGGGGGGGGGTTGGAGTCGGGGAACAGCTTCAGAAGGGACAGGTGACCCTACTGTTCTGTTTTGGAAGGCTTGAAGGCCCCACCGCAGGCAGAGACTGACTGACCCTGGGACTGGCCTCTAAGGCAGCTGAGAGAGAGTTCTGTGCTGGAAGTGCCTGGGATCCAGGGTGTGTGACAGATGCCCAGAGTCTCAAGCAAGGGTTTCTGTGGCCCATCTGTGTCTTTTCCATGTGACTGTTTTGCCAGAGGTCACAAGCTAGAGGAGTGCTGTGGAACAAAGGCTGGTTTCACAGCAAACCAGGAGCTCCCAATAACCACGAGAACTACTGCAGGCAGAAGTGGGGTGGGAGGCAAGGAGAAGTGTCTGCAGTGATGCTTAGTCTCTTGGGGGCTCTGCCTGGCCGCTGCCTTCAGTTCCTCTAGGGGGTGGCAACTTGGGGATCCTTTCCAGTGTGCAGAAAAACTCCCCGGGCAGCTTCCATGCTGTCCTGGACTCACTTCATCTCTCCCTCCACAGCCATGGGAGCTGCCTATGGCACAGCCAAGAGTGGCACGGGCATCGCTGCTATGTCGGTCATGAGGCCAGAGCTGATCATGAAGTCCATCATCCCAGTGGTGATGGCTGGGATCATCGCCATCTATGGCCTGGTGGTGGCAGTACTCATCGCTAACTCCCTGACTGATGGCATCACCCTCTACAGGTGAGCACAAGGCCTGTCCTGTCAGGTGAAGTATATCATTTTCCTGTGGATAAGCAGATTGCTGACAGCCTGTATATCTTCTCTTCCCAGGAGTTTTCTTCAGCTGGGTGCTGGCCTGAGTGTGGGGCTGAGTGGCCTGGCTGCTGGCTTTGCCATTGGCATCGTCGGGGATGCTGGTGTTCGGGGCACTGCCCAGCAGCCACGACTGTTCGTGGGCATGATCCTGATCCTCATCTTCGCGGAGGTGCTTGGCCTCTACGGTCTCATCGTAGCCCTAATTCTCTCCACAAAGTAGACCTTTTCCACCATCAATTCACAGGATAGGATGTAAAGGCCACCCCTCCTCATTCCAGAACGAACAGCCTGACACACATGCACGGGCAGCTGTCCCCTCAGTAGTTGGTCTTGTAAATGCGCAGTGTCCTAGTGCCCATTGTCTGTTGCCCCCGCCTGGCCCCTGCTGCCCCGTGCTGTGGACATCTGGGCCCACTCATCTCCCATCCAGGCCCCTGACCACTGAGGATGTCAGCCTCTGGCTACCCCACCCATCGCCCTAGAGTGCTCTGTGTATAAGGATGAATTAGAGTTGTCATTTTTCTCTTCACTGGATGTTTATTTATAAAAGATTTGAGCTATTCATGCGTCTATGGAGCAGCTCTGTCTCCCAACTATATAGTAATCATTAGTAAAGTGTTGCCTTGTGGGGTTCCTGTTGCTGAGACTCCTTGGATGGAGCCACCCTCCCCCAGCCCTGGACAGCCAGGGTAAAGGGTGGAGTGTGTGCTGGCTCCCAGCTGTGTCCAATAAAAGTTTTCAGACGTGACAAGCTTGTGTTCTGGCGGTTCTGTGGGAGGGCTGACTGTGTCACGTGGCCCTTGGTCACGTGTGATTGGTGGCCACGTGATAGCACAATCTGTTAAGAGTCACATGGTATGGCCCTTCCCTGCCTTCCGGTTACCGTTGGACTAGACGCTGGCCGTTTGTCCCCAAAGCTTGTTGGGTTCAGCACGACTCACGATGCGTAGAGGGCAGCGTGCGGCGGGGGCTCCAGTGCGCCAGTTCACCAACTGCCGCATCCTGCGCGGCGGCACGCTGCTCAGGTCTGGGCTGCGTGGTGAGGGGTTTGGCTTGGTGTAGGACTGGTGATACTGCAGTGTGGGGTGTAGGGATCGGGCGAATGTAAGGCCTAAGCATTAACATTGGCGGGGCTGGGTCGGGTGTGGAAACTCAAGAATGTGGAGGGCAGGACTATCCGGGTGTGTGGCTGGCGACCAAGTAGAATAGTGGGGGTGCAGGGACAAGCCGGGAGTGAGATAGAACTAGGGGTTGGTTCCAGGACCCGATGGTGACCCAAGTGCCGACTGCTCTGCCCTCAGGGAGGATCTATGGGTGCGCGGGGGCCGCATCCTGGACCCAGAGAAGCTGTTTTTTGAGGAGAGGCGCATGGCTGATGAGCAGCGGGACTGCGGAGGCTGCATCCTGGCGCCGGGCTTTATCGATGTGCAGATGAACGGTGCGGCCTGGCTTGGGCCAGGGAACCCAGGGGAGGAGCTCTGAGCATTGTGCTACCCCTTGTTTTCTGTGGCCACAGGTGGATTTGGTGTTGACTTCTCCAAGGCCACGAAGGACGTGGGTTCTGGGATTGCCCTAGTGGCCCAGAGGATCCTGGCCCACGGTGTCACCTCCTTCTGTCCCACCCTGGTCACTTCCCCACCAGAGATTTATCACAAGGTGAGATGAGGCTGCCCTGCCCCTGAGCAAAGGGACCCCTTTCCGCAGAGGTAGTAGCATTTCCTTCATCTGAATTGAGGCCTCACCTCTAGCCTCCCTCCACTTTGTTGTGAGGGAATCTTCCTCTCTGTTGTTCAGTTGTGCCCTGCCTGATCTCTGCAGCTGCCAGTGCAGTTGCCACTTTTTCTGTCACAATTCTCATCTGCCACACCCTCCCAATGCCCTGTTGGCAGCCTCTGGACCTCCTGAATTAAGGTTGCCTGGAATTCTGCCACAGCCATTGTCTCTAGTCAGGCTCTTCCTCCCTAACCTGCCTGTATTATGTGACTCACATGAAGAAGCAGTTCAGAAAGAGCTGCTCTTCCAATGTACCGGCAACAGCCCTGCTTCCCACCCCTTCCCCTTCTGTCTAGAAGCTATGTTGTCTTTGATCCGATTTTCATGTGAAGGCTTTCCCACAGGTTTCCCAGTTTTAACTCAGCTAGTTTAGGTTGTTGTCTTCAGCACCGGTTAAGAGCAGTTTGTGTGTATTCTACCCATTTATCCCTTAGTCCTGAACTTTTGCTTTAAATTGTGGTATTCTCTTATGCAATGTAATGCAATTGATGAGTTTAGTAAATTAACTCTGTTAACCACACTTGAATGGATTCTTTCTGTTCTGCTGTCAGTTGCCTCAGCCAATATTTCTTCCAGTACAGGATCCATTATGGGATCAGGAAGTGTGTGATTGCCTGTGGTTCTCTTTCTGGGTATGTAAACACATGTAGGATGTATGTAGGAAGCCATGGGTATTGATTGTGGGCTATGCCCTTGCTTCCATAGGCTTCGCTTTGGCCTCTTGACTTGCAACCCTTGGAAGACTTGGGACAACTTTACTCACTTCTGAGCCTCAATTCCTTTAAGCCTAGAGTGAGAACAATCAGTGGGTGCTTGACACATTTTAAGCATTCTTTGAATGTTAACTAGATATATCTTTCTGGAAGTTTCCCACAGCTTCCCCACCTCACCGTCAAATGGGCAACCTATTGTCCATAGGTACTTGGTTCTCTGTGCTGATCTCACAGACTCTGGGTATTGCCAGGGTAACCTTTCTAGGTGACAGGTATCAGGATGTACCCCCTTCACTACCACATTCCCCTCCCAGCAGTTGAGCTGCTTCTCTTCCCCCCAGGCACATTGCAGCAGCTCCAGGTATCCCCTCTCCCAAGCTCTTCCAGGAAGACCTTGTTCTGTTAGCACTGCCCCATGCTCCTTCACACCACTGAGCTTCCCCTCTTGCAACAAGTTTGACAGACATGGTGCAAGGCCATGGCTTTCCCTCAGTAGGAGTAGTGGCTGATATTCCTAAAGTTTTCTTTCTGGCACCTTACTGTGTCCATGGACCTTGGAAAACACTTAGAATGAAGGCCTTGGGAGGCAGGTAGGAAGTGATGGCAGAGCACAGTGGGCAGCTCTGAGTATAAAAACGTAACATCCCATTGTATTAGAAACCAGGAGACTCTACCATCAAACCTTTCCCCCTACTGTGTTCTCTGATTTCCTCCAGGGTCCCTTCTCAATGAGGGGCTTATCCACTTGTCCAGGTACTGCTCAGGATCCTGCATGAAGGTTCAGTTCATCAGAACTGCCCACTTTTTTCCTAAGGTTTTCTCTTCTAGCTGTGTTTCAAGACAGATCTGATGGCATTGTTTTTTGCTTCAAATCTGTTGGCTGCTGAAGGTCAGGCAACTGAGGGTCAGCAGTGTCTGCTGCCCTGCCCATGCCTTCACTCCCTTCCCCTCCAGCCTGGTTTATCCCGTCCTCTTTGCTGTGCACTCTTCACTTTGTCGTTCAAAGTGTCGTTCCTCTTCTAGGAAATAGTGACTGTGTGTACATCCACGTGCATTTATGCACTCCATGGAATGCAAGTGGCACTCTGTGCTCTCCTTCCGTCATGTGGACCCTGGGAACTGAACTCAGGTCATCAGGTGGCTTGGCAGCGAGTGCCTTTGCCCACTGAGCCATTTCACCCTTCCTTTTTTTGAGTCGAAGACTTAATATATCCTGATCAATTCACTTCATAGCTGAGACTGGGCCCACTATCCTGCCTAGCTTGCTTGTTCTTGAAGCTGCTGAGGCACCTGTGGGCGGCAGTGCTGCTGCTCTGATGGTTCATCACTTTCCATTATGTGTAGGTATGTGTGTCTGCACACAAGTACAGACGTGTGAGTGCAGGTGCCCTCAGAGCCTAAGGGCATCAGATTCCCCTGGAGCCGGAGTTACAGATGGTGTGAACCACCCCATGTAGGTACTGAGAACTGAACCCAGCCCTCTGCTGCAAAACAGTACATGCTCTTAATCACTGAGCCATCTCTCTAACCCTGCCTTTATTCTCTTTTGTTTGTTTTTGAGACAGAGTCTCTCTGGGTAGTCCTTGCTGTCCTGGAACCCACTATGTAGATCACAATAGCCTGGAACCCAGAAATCAGCTTGCTTCTGTCTCCTAGTGCTGGGATTAAAGGCATGCACCACTTGTAGCTATACCTTTATTCTCTTTATCCATGGTTTTGGTTAGAGGTGTTGTTAGAAAATTTGTGTTTGGGGCTGGCACAGGTTAACTACCTGTAATTCGAGTTCCAGGGGATTTGTTACTCCTTCTTGGTCTCTACAGGCACAGGGGTCATGCATGTAGCTTACAAACACATATGCAGGCACTCATAAAGGTATTTGTGGTGCTAAGGATTGGACCCGGGACATTGTACATGCTAAGCCAAGTGCTCTGCCAGTGTGCTACATCTCCCAGCCCAAAACTACTTGGATGTACACAGCTGCACATTTCCTGAGGGGTCTTGCTATATTATATACTGGTCTCAAACCCTTGGTCTCTGTTCTTGGACTCTCCATGTAGACCAGGTTGGCCTTGAACTCACAGAGATCCTGCCTTTCTCTGGCTGGGACTGAAGGAGTGTGACACCATGCCTGGCCTGTGTCTACTGTCTTTAGCCTCCTCATGTTGTAGCTAAGAAGTGATCTCCTGAGTATGGGACAACAGATAGACACTACTGCACATAGCTTCCCTTGAATGATAAGAGCAGTGCTGTGTCTCTGGTCCTGGCTGTTCTTGAACTCTCCATGTAGACCAGGTTGGCATTGAACTCACAGAGATCCTTCCTTTCTCTGGTTGGGACTGAAGGAGTGTGACACCATGCCTGGCCTGTGTCTACTGTCTTTAGACTCCTCATGTTGTAGCTAAGAAGTAGGAAGCCACCGACTTTATTCCTTGATCCTTTGTGGGGACTATTTTCCCTCTCTAGAGGCTCATAAGATGTCACCTGGATCTGACATCTCATGCTGTCATGCCTTGTCTATCCATTTTGCTGCCTACTAGACATAATGGGAAGTTCAGCTCAAAACTTTTTTTTTTAAAAGATTTATTTATTATGTACACAATGTTTGTGTGCCTGCATGCCTAAAGAGGGTGCCAGGTCTCATTTCAGATGATTGTAAGCCACCATATGGTTGCTGGGTATTGAACTCAGAACTTCTGGAAGAATAACCAGTGAGTGCTCTTAACCGCTGAGCCATGCTCCAGCTTAAGGCTTTCTAAACTTCTATTGAATTGTTTCCTTGGTGACTGTTTTCCCATTTCACTGTCACTCTATGGGAGGTCCACTTGTCTACTATTAGACTTTCCAGGTCTATTCTCATTTTTTCTCATCTTTCTTCTTGGCATGACTTTCTAGACGTTTCCTCAACTTCTATCTTGGAGTTCATTCCATGGGATTCTTGCATTCCTTTGAGTTTGGAAGAGCGAATGTTGCCCTCTGACATGCTGTTCTGGCTTCATTGGTATAAGGCCTCATTGTCCAAGGGTATCAATGCTGACTTTTTCCTGTGTCCTATATTGGCATCTTCTCTCTGCTGGCTTGGTCATCTTATTAGTGTTCCTTCCTCTGCTCCTTGAGGAACTCAGTGTGGGCTGTTAGTGGATGGCACTAGCAGGCCACAAGGAACACCTGCCCTTCGAGGGGAGCTTTGTGGGGTACCCCTGGGTGTGCAGTCCTCTAGGAAGAGTCTTGTTTTGTTTAGAGGGAACTATTATGAGAACCTTTAGGACATAAACTTCTCAATATTTGTATTCCAGCTTGCTTGCTCTACTGAAGCCCTGCACCAGTCCTGTCCTCAGCCCATTTCTCACAGCACCAGTGTCTGTGAGGTCTGAGGTTCCTGAGTCCTCTCCAACCGAGATATGTCCAGAGTCTACCTATTTGTTTCTCAGAATCTGCCCTTCTCTCATTCTTTGTCCTCAGATTTAAGTGTGGGTTTGGTTTGGTTAATTTGAGGCAGTGCATTATGTATTCTAGGTTAGCCTTGAACTTATGTAGCTGAGCCTGGCCTGCTTTCCTGCCTCTGCCTGCCAAGTCCTTGGGATTGTAGGTGTGTCCCATACCTAGTTTAATGGTCTCTTTTGGTTTTTTGTTTTGTTTTGTTTTTTCAAGACAGGGTTTCTCTGTAGCTTTGGAGCCTGTCCTGGAACTCCATCTGTAGACCAGGCTGGCCTCAAACTCACAGAGATCCTCCTGTTCCTGCCTCGCAAGTGCTGGAATTAAAGGTGTGAACTACCACCTCCTGGCAGTTTAAGGGTCTTTAATGTCCTTTATATGTATTGGGAAGGAGTAATTCTGAGGGAGGGTATCACTGTTTTGTCCAGGGACTTTTCATAGCTGAAGGGTCTGGAAAGAGGGTTATGGCTATACTTGGTTATCTCCAAGACCAAGTTAGTGCTGGTCACTCTTTCCTGAGGCTGTGAACTTCCTGATCAGAATGGGCTGGGCTGTGGTGCTGAGCCCTGTCCCCATGTGCACCAAGCTCCCCAACCTCCAGCCCTCTGCTTCTGCCCTGCCTTCCTCCTGCCACCCCCATCCCTGCTTCATTGTCCTACAGCTTAGGGAGCCTGCAGTCATTTTTTCAGGGCTTTGACCACTATGTCCTGGCTGTTTGGCAGAAGGCACTTTGAAGGCCAGAGCAGGTTGGAGCAGCCCTTGGTGCCTCCACCCCCACTCATGCTTCTGTGGCCTGGGGATGCTTTCATTCACCTCCTGGTCCTCAGGGTAGGTTATCAAGTATTCCTGTTGCCATTTCTTCCTGTTCCTGACCACTGGGGGGCCTTCATCCATCTCCCAGCACCAGTGGGAAGGACAGTGGGGCTGGGCTGGGCTGGGCTGGTGGGCCAGAGTCTCAAACCCTGACCTGAAGATCTGACCTTGGTTGAGCTGTGTGCTCTGGGTGCTGAGCTGGGGGCGGGGGCAGGATTTTAACAGCTGGTTCCCTTTAGGTCCTTCCTCAGATCCCTGTGAAGAGTGGAGGTCCCCATGGGGCGGGGGTCCTTGGTGAGTGGTTAACTTGTTTGAAAATGCCCAGTTGGGAAGGGGTCCAGGTTTGATGGACTGGGGTGGGACTGCTAGGTGGAAATGTCTACTAGAACCGCCCTTGTCCCTTCCCTCAGGGGTGCACTTGGAGGGCCCGTTCATCAGCAGGGAGAAGCGGGGTGCACACCCTGAGGCTTACCTCCGCTCCTTTGAAGACAATGCTTTTCATGATGTGCTGGCCACATATGGGGCCCTGGACAACGTCCGAATTGTGACACTTGCCCCTGAGTTAAACCGGAGCCATGAAGTGATCCAGGCGTTGACAGCCCAAGGCATCTGTGTGTCTCTAGGTGAGAGGCCACCTGTTGGGGTTGCCTGCTCAAGGCTCTCAGCTGCTGCAGAAGCTGATCTTAAGTCCCTCATGCAGGGCATTCAGTGGCTGACCTGGGGACTGCAGAAGTAGCAGTGCAAAATGGGGCCACCTTCATCACCCACCTCTTCAATGCCATGTTGCCTGTGAGTGTCACCCCTACTCCTGGGTGGAAGGGAACTCAGCGGATACTACTGTCACTCAGTTATTCCTTCTACCCTGCTTAGTTCCACCACCGTGACCCAGGCATAGTAGGGCTTCTCACCAGTGACCAGCTGCCCCCAGGCCACTGCATCTTCTATGGGATGATTGCTGATGGCATACACACTAACCCTGCAGCTCTACGAATTGCTCACCGGGCCCATCCCCAGGGTGAGTAGCTGAACAGAGTAGGACAAGTAGGATAATAGCTGGCCAGGTCCTGAACCACCTCCTTCCCTAGGGCTGGTGCTGGTCACTGATGCTGTCCCTGCTCTGGGCTTGGGCAATGGCCGCCATACTCTGGGACAGCAGGAGGTGGAGGTGAATGGGCTAATAGCCTGCATTGCAGGTGAGTGACTCCTGTACCAACATATGTATAGTCTCTTGGCTCCTTCCTTGAGTGGGGTGGAACTTGGGTATGCCCTTTTTGTCCATGGGGCCTTCTAGGCCCACAGAAACTCCCTCCTCCAATCCTGGCCTTTCTGATCTCAAGGCACCAAGACACTGTGTGGCAGCATAGCCCCCATGGATGTCTGCATCCGGCATTTCCTGCAAGCCACAGGTCAGTGGGCTGGTGTTCTTAGGTGTCTGAAGGCAGCGGCTATATCTGGGGAAAGCTAAAATGGAGGTAGGGAAATTGGAGTCTGTGCTGACAGCCTCTAACTACCTGTAAGCTGGGAGATGGAAAAATGTGACTTCTAGCAGATGGAAATGACCATGGTCACTCCCAAATAGAGTTCAGACTATGGAATGATAGTGAACAGTCAGTCACTAGAGCCAGGATGTGTGAAGCTGTGACCTCATGGAGGATCAGGGTCACATTGCTCACAGAAGGGCCTAGGCTTAGACCCATGGAATAATGGGAATCTGCAGGGGCATTATTCATGGGATGGAGTGAAAGTGACATTCTGGGGCTTGGGGCAGGTTCTGCTCCCAAATATCTGTCAGCATCTCAAGATTGTCATTCTGAATGTGTGCAATGTTAGAGCAAATAGGCTAGGGATGGCCTAGGACATAGGAGATAACTGTATCCTGGCAAGAAGTGATACAATAAAGTGAATGTAGTCACTGGGCCTCAGGTTAGGGTCCCTTTTGGCAGCTGGATCAGTGGGAGCCAGATTGGTGACATGGTGGGCTCAGGTATGACTTCTTTGCTCGAAGTAGGCAGGAGGGTCTATGACCATAAACAGTGAACACACTCTAATGCCCATGTCTAGTTGTTGAGAGGATAGGTTTCCTGTAGAGCTGGGATGATGAGTGGGCTGGGGAAGAGAGTTATGAGCAGTATCTCTCAAAGCTAGGGAAAATGAGGGTCCTTCCTAAGCTGTTGCAGAGTCCAAGGCCTTTCCTGAGGCTTTGGAGCTGCTTGTAGGAAGGACTGTGGATGCTCACCACAGTGTGTTCCTGAACAGGCTGTAGTGTGGAGTCGGCTCTGGAAGCTGCATCCCTCCACCCTGCCCAGTTGCTAGGGCTCGAGAAGACCAAGGGGAGCCTGGACTTTGGTGCTGATGCAGGTGAGGTCTCAAGGGGGTGGGGGTGGGGGTTCTTTGTTTTTTGTTTTCTTGGGGCAGGATTTCTCTGTGGCTTTGGAGGCTACTTTCAAACTCACAGAGATCCACCTGTTTTCTGCCTCCCGAGTGCTGGGATTAAAGGCGTGCACCACCAATCCACCAATGCCTGGCTTCAAGGGGTGGGTGGGGGGGTTCTTATCTGTCCCTGCTCCTTGGGGTCCATTCCCACCGTAGACTCTTTTTGTTCTTTTTTTTCTTTTTTACTGTAGACTTTTATTTTTTGTGTGTACCATAACTCACCTGTAGAGGTCAGAGGACAACTTGCAAGTGGCAAGCACTTTTCCCCACTCTGCTATCTCCTGGTTGGCCCTTTTGTATGCTTTTGTTTTAAGACAGGGTCTTATGTAGCCCTGGCTGGCCTGCAACCCACTGTGTAGATCAGGCTATCTTCAAATTCATGGTAATCTTCCTGACTCCGCCTCCTGAGTTCTAGGATTGTTGGCGTGTGCTGTCTATCACATTGGTTTCTGGCACCTGAGATCAGGCCAGGTCAGGGTTACAGGGATTATTTGTGCCCAGCTGATGAGTTGATGCTCTTGCTTCCAGCTCTTCCACCAGTCCCAATCATGTTTTTGGGCCTCAGTATTGCCACTGAGCTCAGTTGTGAAGGATGACTCCACACTAGGGGATATGGGTGGCCCTACTATGTTTCCTCTCATCTTTTGGTTCTGCCGCAGACTTTGTGGTGCTCGATGACACCCTCCATGTCCAGGCCACTTACATCTCGGGTGAACTGGTGTGGAAGGCAGAGGAAGCTGGGCCGTGACTTGAGGATCTTGGCTGGAGAGGACACTTGGCTCCAGCTGGACACTGACAGGCCAGGCAGTCCAGGGAGCTGGTCTCCAAGGGGCAAGCTGGAAGTCTTGTCCAAGGTCTCATATGGATCCTCATCACTGCACTGAAGAGGCATAAATACAGACACCAGGACTTGCCTTGTCTGAGTTGTGCTTTGAGCTATCTTACGTTCAGCAGGGCTGCTGGTGTCCATTGTTTCCCTGGGGCCTTCTGGGTTAGCTTGGGGCCAGGAAGGGTTGGGTATACCACATGAGACCTTCTCTGTAGGCCAGATCTGTTTTGAGGCCTGCAGATCTCCAGGAAGATGTTAGGGTTGGAAGTGAGTAGAATCATTTTGGGGGAAGTCACTGGGAGAGGCTGGACACAGTATGTGGATGGCTGACTCCAAGCTAGATGGGCAAAATGGAAGCCATAGCCCCAGGCTCTCTGCACAACATTCAGGAGAGTGTCCACATGTTGGTGTTGGGGCCTAGGGTTACTTAGCAATGAATGGAGGAATGGTTGCCTTAAGGGCCTCCGGTTTGAGCCTGGAACTCCACCTATTGCTCCCTGACCTGCTAGACCTGCCTAGCACCTTCTTGGATAATCAGAAATTCCATTCCCTGTGGTGTCTTCTTTCAAAGACCCCAAGGGCTGGCAGATATTCCTTCATTCCCATGTTTGGTGCCTGTGGCATACCCTGCCTGGTGCTGGTGGGCAGTTCTAGGCCTTATGGCTCTGTTTGCTCTGTTAGTCTTGGACAGGGCATACAAGAGTACCCTAGCCTGACTTCCTCCCACTTGGGGAATGTGGTTCATCAGGCTCCCTGGAAACATCACTGCACAGGCTTTGGGGATTCCTTTGACTTTAAGGATGGCTGTAATGTAGGAGTTAGTATATACCAGAGGTTGAAGGTCAAGTCTTAGAATGCCTCCACTTTGCATTGGGTCCTGGGGTAGGTGACTTCCCCTGTCATGTGATACATTATACCTTGGGATAGAGGGTTGCAAACATGTCACAGATCACTTGTATATAGGTCCCAAACAGTATATGGGAACTGTTTTCAGGCCAAGGTTTGAAAAATATTTAAAGAAAGAGAAAAAGAAAACTAGGCAAACAGAATAAAACACTCTTAGACCTTCTACTGTTTGAGAGCAAGAGCCTGGAGAGAACAGTTGGTAGGCAGGGGCATTGTCAACCCAAGAAAGCTATCATGAGGTTTCCCAGCCTCAGCTGAGGGAAAGGCAAGCAAGAGAGCCTGGATCTGCCCCATTGCCACACCCCTCCACTTAACAAAAGATAGGGAGAGCATGAGTCACATCAGGACGCACCAGCCCTTGGAAGCCTCCCTCTGATGGTGGAAGGTCTCACTCCCAAACTCTTCGTGAATGTTGACTCATTCCACCCATCTACCAGAAACCTCCTTTTTCAGATGAGGGAATCAGGTACTTGCTTACTGCTGCTGGACAGTCCTGAGGACCAGGACTCAGTGTGGAGGCTAAAGGTAATAGTAAAGAGCTAGTTTAACATGCATATAAGGTCCTGGGTTCCATTTCAGTACAGAACTTGCCCTGATCTGCCCAGATCAGCTTCACTGGATTGGTGCTGCTGCTCTGGGTAGACATCAAGGGGAACTCAGGAGTTAGCTGTTTGGGGCTACCCAGAAATATGATGGGAACTAGCACTGGGAAGGTTTTGAGGTGGAAGGAACATCCTCAACAGAAGACAGAGGCAAGCAGGCTTACATGTTATAGTATTCCTGGGAGCAGAGTCAGTGGCTCTGAAGCTGCTCTAGGGATTTGGATTATTAGACTTTTTTTTTTTTTTTTTTTTTTTTTTTTTTTAGGGGGGTGGTTTCAAGACAGGGTTTCTGTGTCCTGGAATTTGCTCTTTAGATGAGGCTGGCCTTGAACTCAGAGATCCTCCTGCTTTTGCTTGATTAAAGGGATACACACTACCACCTGCCTGGATTATTATTTTTATTAAAAAAACAGCTGGAGAGATAGATGGCTCAGTTTTTAAGAGCACTTACTATTTTTGCTGGAACCTGTGTTCAAGTCCAGCATCCACATCAGGTGGCTTGCAACTAAGTGACTAGCTTCAGGGGGAGACCGTGAGGGCACCTGCATATCCTCCACACAGACATGCACGTGTACATGTAATTAAAAATAGTAAAAACAAATCGTAAACTGGGTGGCAGTGGCACACCCCTTTAGTCCTAGCACTTGGGAAGCAGAGGCAAGAGGATCTCTGAGTTCAAGGCCTGACTGGTCTACAAAGCAAATTCCAGGATAGCTAGGACTGTTACACAGAGAAACCCTGTTTTGAAAAACTAAGTAAATAATAAAGGACAAAACAAATCTTACAAAATTATAAAATTGCTCAGCTTACATAGTTGTGCATGCTTGTAGTTTCCTGGAAGGTAGAGGCGGGAGGACCGGGAGGTCAAGGTTCTCCTCAACCATATATCAAGTTGGAGGCCAGCCTAGGTTGCAGAGGCAGAGGCAGGCAGATGGATCTCTGTGAGTTAGAGGCCAGCTTGGTCTACAAAGTGAGTTCCAGGATAGCCAGGGCTGTGTAGAGGGACCTTGTCTTAATATTTATTTATTTATTTATTTATTTATTTTGAGACAGGGTTTCTCTGTGTAGCTTTGGAGCTTGTCCTGGAACTCACTCTGTCCTGCCTCTGTCCCCGGCATGCTGGGATTAAAGGCATGTGCTACCACTGTCCAGCATTTTTAAAAATTCTATGTATGTTCACTCATGTGCATCCATGTGTCCAAGGCGGCCAGAAGAGAATGTCAGACCTCCTGGAGCACGGGATGGGTGCTGAAAACAGCACTCAGGTTCTTGAATACTCAGCCATCTCTCTGGTCCCTTAACTATTTAAAAGATTTATCTTTATGTATACATGTGTATGTATGTACGTTGTATGTAAGTATGTGCACATGAGTGCATGTGCCAGTGGAGGCTGGAAGCCTGGACCCTCCTGGGAGCTGTAGCTAGTGGTTGTGAGCTGCCTGGTATAGACGCTGGGAACTGAACTCTGGTCCTTTATTAAGAGCAGTGCTTTTAACCTCTGAGCCAGTTCTCCAGCCAACTTTACCAACCATTCTTTTATTTACTTAAGATTTTATTTGGTGGGTATGGGTGTTTCGCCTGCATTCATGTCTGTGCACCACCACATAAGTGCAGTACCCAGGAAGGAATTGGATCCCTTGGGGGGCTATTAGGTGCCATGTAGGTGATGGGAATTGAACCAGTACCCTCTGGGAGAATGGCCAGTGCTCTTAACCAACTGCAGCCCCACTTTAACCACTCTTGCGTGTGCAGTTCAGTAACTAAGTACCCTCATGTTGTTGCGCAGTCATCACCCCCATCATCTCAGGAACTATTACTTTCCAGACATAATCTGTTATTGCCATTAGTCTCCTACCACAACCACACTCTGCCCTGTCAATGGCTCCGAGCTGGAGGGCTAGTCACAGAGAGGTGTGCCGGTTACTTCAGTCTGGGACTTCTGGGGCACCGATGCCGCCCAGCTGTTAACAGTTGGTGCCGCATCAGGCATGCCTGTGGTATGGGTGTGGGCTGGGGGACAGCCACTCCCTGAGGTCAGCTGAGTCACGGTAGTGGTAAGGTGCTAAACAGGTTGGGAGCCAGTGCTCCTGAGACAGCTGGCTGGCGGAGGCGGACGCTTTTATCCAGTTTACCCGGGAGGCAAATGCTTGAGTACTGAGAAGCGCACGGGTGCCATCTGGCGGCTGGCGCTAGTCAGCAGCTTGAGGGACTCAGAGGATCTCGGTTTCGAGTCCCGAGCCTGACGATCCTTTTACCTCCGGTGTCGCGGCAAGAGCTAGTTTCAGAACTTCCTCCAAAGCCACAGAGAAACCCTGTCTCGAAACAAATGATCTCAAGGCCGATCTCAAGGCCGGCTGGTAATTCGTGGAGAGGGGTCGTCTGTGACAGAGATTACCCGCAGGTGTGGCATGTGACGGTAACCACCTGGGCAGGAACTAGGAGGTTGCAGAAAGTGGTTCAGCTCAGCCGGTGTGTGCTGCAGGGTGCTGCGGAGGCCACGCCCACGGCTGGGCCAATCGTAATGTTCTTCGCAGTCCAAGGCACCCAGCTGTAGGACGCTTGAAACCCTTGGACCCAGCTAAAGGAGCAAAAGTGGGCAGAATCCACACGTAGGCTCAGTCAGCACGCGTGCAGCATCGAGCACAACGTTCGGAACCACTGAATCCTTTCCTCTCCTTCAGTGTGTGTGTGTGTGTGGGGGGGGTGTCCCTTGGCTCGCCCTCTGAAGTGCCCCGGTGGCTTTTGTAAGGAGTACAGTGAAGGGCTTCAGCCCGACCAGTCTTTCCTCTATACCCGCTGCCAGGGTGGCACGCTTGTTTTACTGAGCCAGATTGCACTTTTCTTTTAGTAGTTCGGCAACTCTTTTGTCAAATTGAACACTCTAAGTGTAGTTTTCCATGGGACCCCTTGTCTGAGGAGAGGCAGCTAGCCTGGCCGGCAGACAGGTGCGTGGAGTTGCCCACGAGAGGTCTGCAGTCCACTATGGTAGCAGTAATTCAGCCCTACACAAGCTTTCAGACCTCTCAACTATGACTGTGGGGTCTGGTTTTGTTTTGTTTTGGGGGAGTGATGGTCAGGCACTCTTATATAGCACAGCCTATTCTCAAGCTTGCCATGTATGGGAGGCTGGCCTTGGACTCTTATCCTCCTGCTTCTGCCTCACAGAGTGTTAGGATTAAAGACATAGGCTGTCATGCTCAATCAGTTCCAGCAGCATCTTTGTGCAGGCTGGAGAAACCTGAGCCTAACCATTCATCCAGGACACTCCTGGGCTTCTAACTCCAAAACATCATGAGGTCATGTTTTGGGGGCAATATGTTACACAGTAGAAAGTACTTAACAGTCCAGATAGGATATGTTGATTGGTTTCTTGCCTGTGAACCCGTTTTCTTACACCATGAGGGCTAGTTGAAGAGAGACACCTACCAGCCCCTTCGAAGGTGATTCCCATTATCCTCTTGCCCTTCCATGACCTCATAATGTCACCCCAAGCCACAACATATCCAATTGGCTCAGGGATACTCTGCTTACACAAGAGAGTCAGGGCACAGAAGGGACAGTCAGCTCCTCTCCTTTA